AACCCTTCGCTGATGAGTCAATTCCGACTCATAGTGACCCCATAGGACAAAGTAGAACTGCCCCATACGGTTTTCAAGCAGTGGCTGGTGGATTCAAACTGCCGACTTTTTGGTTAGCAGCCCAACACTTAACCACCGTGCCACCAGGGCTCCGGGGAGAAAGCCTTAGGGGGTCATAAACCTGTAATAGTGAAACTAGGCCCAAGAAGGAATGCTGAGCACACCTGAAGCTGAAGGGAGCTAGGCCTCTCATTGTGGAACGCCTGCTCTGCAGGGTGGGGATGAGCCCCAAGGCTGAGAACACTGGGCAGACGTGGAAGCAGGCCACGTACTCAGTGCCCCCAGAGGCCCTTCCAGGCCTGGGATTGGGATGTTTGGAACCAACCTTCCATGTTAGAGAACCTCCCAGCACCCTAAGATCCCAGTTTAGCCTTGCAACAGAGCATTGATCAAACAGAAGACATCCTGGAGGGATCAGAAAGCTGATAAAACCAGGGCAACACCTCCAATAAAATCATGAGAGTTACACAGAACTTGAAGAGGGACTGTTGGAGCATACAGCTCACTCATTTGAAGATAAGCTACATCCTGGGCCAAAGGGCTGGGTAACTGAAAGTGAGGCAACAGCCTTGAGAGGCTCTTCCAAGGACTTTCCCAACCCAGAAACGCACATCTCAGCCAAGGTCAGATGGAGTTAGAATTGTACTGAGCCAGTGGTTGCTCCTCCTGTTCACAGCGTCCCAGAATCAAAATCTCTGTAATTGGAGAAGCAGGTGGAGTTAAACTTAGATTCCCAGAGCACCCCGCCCTGCCACAGCCTCTCAGAGGGAGGAGCAGCTGGTAAGCTTTCCCTGGGACTCACGACACCCTGAGTGCTGTGCTCCCTCCTGCCAGCCCCTCTGCTTGACTAATGGTTGAGGCTGCTTTGCTCTCCCTTTGAGTATCTGCCTAGTGGGCATAGCATTGACCAGAAGCAGTGATGGAGTGCTCCAAGGTCCATGGAAGAGCCACAGAGCCCCTATATGTGATCTCCCCAGCCCTCTCCCAGGGCCAGTGAGAATCTAATAAGTGCATGTGGGGTGTTTTGCACATGGCAAAGGGCTGTGGGATTGCTTGTTGTTCTCATTGAGGTGAGGGGTGTTTGCTTCCAATGGAATCTTTCATTGTCTCCAATAGGAAGATGGAACGTCTATAGCAGGGCACCTCCTCCAGTGTCTTTCAGTGCTAGCCCTCATTGCTCAGGAATCTAGAGTTGTTCCTTCTACTCCAGAATCAAGACTTCTCATTTGGACTCCAAAATCCCTCCCTGAGTAATTCTTCTCCCCTATGCCCTTCATTTTTCATGACCCTGGCCCACAGAATCTTCACTCCAATATTCCTAGGGTTCAAGCACATGGTTGCCTCCATCTGTCCTCCATCCTCCATGATTGACACAGTCAAGACTTCCAGAGAGAAAGGCAGGGCCATGTTTTCCAGGACAGTCTCAATTCCTTCCCAGAGGAGAAGGATAAGAAAGATAACTTCCGGTTAGTCTTGCTATTGTGCTTTTCCCCAGAGCCTACCTGGATTCCCTAAGAACATCATGAGCACATGCACACTCCCAGAGAAAATCAAATCCACACTCTGTAACAGGGCTGGTGGTGCCAGAAAACTTAGTTTCATTTTATGATCTTGGCAAAGGCCCTTGCCTTCTCCATGACTTCATCCTTCCCTGGCATCTGATCTTATTTTTCAAAAATACAACATAAAGGTAGAATTCTTTCCCTCTCAGACTCTGCCACATGAATGCTTAGGGCAGCAAAGATGTGACATGCCACCACACACATATCCCCATTCCATGATTCACTCCCTCCCTAAATCTCCTGCCAAAGGGTTAGCCAACCTCCTTCTGATGGGAAACTTACTAACTCCCCAAGGGGCCTCTCCCACCTCAGGATAAATAGAAAGGTGCTTCTTCTATTGAGCCAAAATCTGCTGTAGTTCCCACCTGTCCACCTGGGTGTTCAGCTGGGTTCATCCCCTCTTTCCTATGGAAGCTCTTCAAATCTTTGCAGTTAGCCATCACATCTCCTCCAAAGACTTCTCTGTTTCTCAGGTAACCAGGTTTCTGATTCCCTACCACCACCACTGTCCTGGTGACTGTCCTCTGAATAGGCTCCTATTTATTAAATTCCTTGGTGCTCAGAGTCCCCAGAGTGGTCTGACTACAGAAGAGAGGAAATGGGCTCTGTATACTACTTGCTTCTTGGTTCCCACTCCATCTCCAGCGGCCACCCCATCCTGTTGACTCAAGCATTGTCAATGTCAGCTGAACACTTTAAATCATTTTTTTACCCACTGCTGTTTATCCATGTCTTCCCTTCCTTGCCTTTGTGCTCTTGGCTTTTTTACTTCAAGTATAGAACATTGCGTCTATCAGCTCCCTCTCTCCTTCCCTTTGGGCAGTCCCTACCCACCTTTCCCTTTCCTGGTCCATCCTCCCACAAGCCTGCAGCCAAGACAGCTGAGATGGGGAGGAACTTCTCAGACAGAATGAGGGGTGTGCCTGGGAAAACAATGTCTCATCAATATGGGTTGCAGTCATGTTTGAACGAACCCCATATCTAAATTCCATTTGTATTCCTTCAGGGAATGAGAAAGTAGGTCACATCTTTCATGTGACTCAGAAATACCACATAGAATAAGGTGATAGCTTTAACTTGCTCTGTTCTTGAATTTCTGCATCAATGCTTCTCTCAGGAGCATCAATTAAAGACGTCCCTGCACATGACCTCAACTCAGTTAATGAACCTAAATTCCCAATCTCCTCAGCTCAGTTTCTCCTATCCAGATGGGCAGACCTGCTCCCTCTTCCTTATACACATTTAACCTCGCTTATCTTTGCATCTCTGAACAAACTGTTCACCTGTCTGGAGAGTCCTTCAGACAGGGCCCTCCCTCCCTGACCTCCCTGCCCACATCTGCCCCCAGTCTCTTCCTCAGCCTCATTGCACAGTCCAGCCCTCCAGGAGCCTGTTGGGACCAACCTCCCCCTTCCCCAGCACTGACACCTGCTGCAGGTCCCACTGCTCCTGTTTTGATGGCTCTGCCTATGTCCTCAAGATAGGACAGGCACACACTCTGACTTCTCCTTCTCCATAGTATTTGAGCCTTCCTTTCCCCTGTAGTATATCATTTGAGTTGTGAGCACCTTGAGATTCAGAAACATGTTCATTCAGCATAGCATTCCCGGTGCCTAAGACACTGCCTGCCATACAGTAACCAAAAGCCCTTGCCATCAAGGCAATTCTGACTCATGGAGACCTTGTGTGTTGCAAAGTAGAGTGAGCTGCATAGGGTTTTCTTGGCTGTAATCTTTACAGAAGCAGATTACCAGGACTTTCTTCTGCAGTGCCGCTGGGTGGGTTCAAACCGAAAACCTTTCAGTTAGCAGCCATACAAACCGTTTGTGCCACCCAGATATCTTGCCACAGAGTAAAGGGCCTAGTGTGTGTCAATTGAACAAATGTGTCATCAACTTTTGACTGATCAGCCACTTCAAGGATTAGTGAGATTATGTCTGCAAGGTTCTTCAAGATTATGTGTTACTTGAGCACTAAAAAATAATAAAAATACACTGCAACTTCCCAAACATGAATGCATTCAGAGTCCTGCAGAAATTAAAAAAGAAATAACTCATCTCCTGATCAACCAGCAGTTTTGATATCACAGAAAAATGTATTATAGAAACACCAGAAATGCCAAGCCAAACAAGGTACAACCTTCAACCAGAAAATGATGACATTACAAGCACTCCCTAAGGGCCCCACACTGAACTCATCAGATGCCCCAAGAGAATCATGGACTTGGAGGTTGTATTAGGACTCAGCAAGCAAGTGAAGGTGACTCCAGGTCTTAGAAGCAAAGTCACTCCTCTCTCAAGGCCTGTTACTTGGCTGATACTTTTCCCCTCCTGTCCCCTCCAGCACATCTCAAGCATCTTCCATAAAACCCACTAGGAGTCAAATTCTCAAAAGTCGCTGAAAGCCACAGAGAACACGAGGCAGAAGGGACATAAGAGATCTGGAAAAGAGCGTTAAACTGACTTGCAAATAGCCAACAGCTTCCAGATTGGTTCAGGACTGAAACCTCCACAAGACCCAAGACAGATCCTCAGACTCCTCAGGCCCTGGGCATCTGGACAGAGCAGAGCTGGGCTCAAGTGCTCAGCCAGCTGAGCAACTCCAAGGACAGTATTATGGAGCAGAGTTCAGGAAGGGCCAGGCTGCCAGGGAGTGAGGCTGTCAGGAGGGGGCAGGTCAGAAGCTGAACTTGACTGCTTGTCCATCAATCACTCTACCCACTGCTAAGAACAGTCCTCCCTGTGGACAAGGACTCATGCCCCGTGCCTTCTGAAAATATTCCCACTTTGGAGTGCCCGGAGGATAATGCTTCTTTAGACAGAGATTCAGAATCAGGACCACACATGATATCCAGGGGTTTCATGTAGGCAGCCAGTTTTCACTGTTCATCAACTGAACTATGAGACTTCCAGACCAAGAGGCAGGAATTGGCTTCTGATACAAAGCTTCCCCTTACCAGGTTAGCTTGTCTTGCAATCAGCTACTTGCCCAAAGCAATCATTTTGTGGTCCCTGAGGGATGGATTATTGCTCTCAGAGCAGCCCAGATGCAAGAAAGAGATCATGGGGGTGAGAAACTCTTGAGTATCTGCCTTGTAAATGTGCTACAGGCTCGTTTTCTCCATCACTAAACTGGACCCCCTGGGGCGTCCACAGGGACAGTGGTAGCTCAGCTGAGTAAGCATGTGTCCGACTGTGACTCTGACTGCAAGCCAGTGCCCCTCAAAGATGGAGCTGCTGTTTGGGGTTATCCACCCTGCTTCTCCACCTGAAGTTGAATTTATTGGCAAAGCTGATAAGATCCATCAGGAAAAGGTAAGGGAGAGGGAGTCAGGAAGGGCACAGAGACAAGAGGACAGGTAAGAGCCACCACGCAGGGTATCCGGTGTCTGAGAAGCGACGGGTGGCAGAGCCATTGCAGCTACTCCACGATGTGGCTGTGGGAAGTGTTGGTAGAGGTTTGGATGATCTGCACGCGGGAGGAGCTGCCACCGCTTCTCCCGCCGAACGTGTTACTGCTTTCGCTGCTTCCTCCATAGTTCGCTCCACTGCTGGTTCGGTGACCACCTCCACTGGCCCCTCGGAAACCCCTGCCATAACTGCCCTCGCCACCCACTCGGGGGCTGCCGCCGCCGTAGTCCCCACCGCTGCTGCGGCGGTAACTTCCAGAACCGCGGCCACCGCCGCCTCCACCACTGCTGCCGACTGTCGCCTGGCTGGTCTGCACCGCTGTGGGGGAGAGGGCGACCACAGGGCGTCAGAAGGACTGGGGCGGGGGGAGGTGGGGGACAGACCCACACCCATCCCCCTGGACCAGCCCCCCTATAGGCTTAATCATTGGTGGTATCTGACTTGCAAACAGATACGTGGGGAGTTGAAAGTATTCCCATTTGCAAAAACTCTTGATGCTACAAAGGGGTCCGCAAGGTCTTTTTAAGCAGCACGTTTTCACTGTTTGTTGATATGCTCTAAGGAGCCCTGGTGGCACAAACCGTTAAGCACTGGGCTGCTAACAAAGGTTGGCAGTTTAAACCCACCCGACAGTTCCTCAGGAGAAAGACCTGGTGATCTGCTCCCGTGAAAATTATAGCCTAGAAAACCCTGTGCGACAGTTCTACTCCGTCACATGGGGTCACTATGAGCCGAAAAGGACTTAAACGCACCCAACAACAAGAGAGAGCTCTAAGCCACTGCTGATTATTGTCGTTGTTGTTCTTAGTTGCCATGGAATCAATTTTGACTCTTGGCAACCCCACGTGTGCAGAGTAGAACTGCTCCATACGGTTTTCAAGTCTGTGAACTTTCGGAAGCAGATCACCAAGCCTGTCTTCTGAGATGCTTCTGGGTGGGATCCAGCCACCAGCCTTTTGGCTAGTAGTCAAGTGCTTGACCATTTGTGCCACCAAGGGACTTAGGTATCATAAAAACTGAGATAAAACAAAACTGAAGTCACAACATTTTATTTAAATGAATTCTTCCAGGCTTTGTGGTTGTGTTTGCTTACTTTGGTTTTCAGTTCATAGCAATGGAAGCTAAAACACCAAACTTTCAGTTCCCTACTGGTCCCCTGGAAACTCTTCTTGCCCTCCGCTACCCAGCACCAGCCAGCCCTGTGCCTGGACTCTGCTGCTTACAGATGCACACTTGGCTCTACAGGTCTCCAGACATCCTGCAAAACCAAAGCACACATCAGCCTGACCCACAAAGCCTGAAGGCAAGCAAGCAGCAGCACAAAGACATCAGGAACCGAGACACCCATGGGAAGGAAGAGCTGTCCCCAAGTCTTAGGGGAATGTGTGGGAGCCAATGGGACCAGAGGGGACTTTAAGCATTTTCATGAAGCCTTTTAGCATCGGGAATCACCACCTGGCTGCAATGGCTTTAGTTGAGCTTGAGGACATTCTGCTTGGAGGCAGGAGGATGATGACAATGACTTCTGACCCAGCCAACTAGTGCATCCTCTGCTTCTAACTTGCACGTTTCTCCTTGCCCTGGGCTAGATTGGTAAATCCAATGGGATTTATAATAATCCAGTGGGCTTGGTAAATCTTCCCAGAAAAGTGGGGATTGTCTTCTCTCCAAATAGTCAGTCCCCTGGCTCCAGAACTGCATCTAGAGCTTTGGCCCAGAACCCTGGCTGCCATCTACGCCGTTCCCCCGCCAGGCCCACCTGCTCTTCTCGCCCTCCAGCAGTTCGTGGTAGGTGGCAATCTCTACATCAAGAGAGAGCTTGACTCCCAGCAGCTCCTGGTAGTCACGCAACAGCCGGGCCAGCTCCTCTTTAGACTGCTGCAGGGCCTCCTCCATGTCCTGCACTTCTGCTGTGTGTCCTGGAGGGCCCACTGTCCCCTCTCCTCTGCATCTGAAATGGCTGAGTGCATCTGTTCGATCTGCTGGAGAGCCAGGCATGGGAAGAAACCGTGCAGGAGTTGAGTTTCAGGAACCTGCCCGATCTGGCAGGGCATTGTAGACGGCAGAGTGCCCAGTTAGCCTACCCTGAGAACCCATCCCACCTGCTTCTTGACATTGGCAATTTCTGCCTGCAGCCTCTGGATGTTGCGGTTGAGCTCAGCGATCTCCATCATGCTGTTCTTCAGGTCATCTCCACGTCTCCCCGCTGTGATCTGGAGCTCCTGGTACTGAGAGTCAAAGGCAGCATCATAGTCAGTGCCTGCTGCCCACCATGAGCCCCTCCAAGAGGGGGTGGGCCTGCCTTCCCAGACCCTAACACTGTTCTCCCCCAGGAAAATTACCACAGGAAGCCCACCTAGATCTGTGATCCCAACAGAGTAAGCCCACCTATATCTGTGACCCCCGTGCATACACGGACACCTCTACCAAACCTCCCTCATCTAAGCTGCAACCTCCCCTCCCTACACACACATCTATACCAAGCCTTCCTGATTCCCATAAGTCCCTGGGCCAGATCCACATCCCTGCTCCTTTTGCCCTTCTTATCTCCTTTTTCCCGTGCCTAACCTTCACACTGGCTCTTACACACGCTGAGGCCACCTCACTTTGCTTTCCCCACCATATTCCTCCCTGCCCTTTTTCAAGATGCTTTCTCTAGCAATCAGGACCTCATTTGCTCAGAGGCTTTTAGCATGCTCCATGTTTATTTGCATTTTCCTCTCCATCTCCTTTTCCATGTCTACATTGCTCCATCAGTCAGAGAACTCTGCCCACACCACATGGTTGTGAAAGGGGCCAGGGAGTAGGGCTGGCTTGAGGGAATCTCTGCATTCTGATTTCTTCACTATCTGCCTCCCCAGTCTGATGTTGACATCCATTCCATTGCCAGAACACCTGTCTGCAGGACAGTGGGACAGAGGTCAGCCAGGAGTGGAGTCTGCCACAGATAATGCACAAAGCACATCATCGAGTGCCCATTGTTCAGAATTTAGTGACAGGATGTCAGCCTTTGACTTTTCAACTACAGTCTTCACGGTCCAAAAATGTCCAGGTCAATTTATGTTAAAGAAGTATCCAAAGACGTGTCCAAAGACTTAGCTACAAAGATGTTTAGCTAATAACTGAGTGCCTATCCTTATAACGGAAACCCTGATGGCATAGTGGTTAAGAGCTATGTCTGCTAACCAAAAGGTTGGCAGTTCAAATCCACCTGGCCTTCCTTGGAAACTCTATGGGGCAGTTCTACTCTGTCCTATAGGGTTGCTATAAGTCAGAATTGACATGAGGGCAACGGGTTTGGTTTGGTTTTGGTATCCTTATAACAGAATATGATGCTGCTATTAAAAGGGATGTAGAATACTTAATGTCACAAAAAGCCATCATACGTGATAACTGAAAAAGAAAAGTACAAAACAATATTTTAAAAGATACCATTCTGAAAAAAATAAAAGACATAGTGGTTAAGGGCATGAGTTTTGTAGACGCACCCCTGAGTTTAATTAAGCTCTGGCTCTGCCACTTACTAGATCCAAGACCTTAGAGAAATTCTGTAAATCTCACGCTCTATTATCTATGAAATGGGGATGATGAAATCCTTAACCTGATAGGGTTGTTGTAAGGATTAAATGAAATAACACAGGCAATCCCCGGATTACAAACAAGTTCCATTCCTAAATCTGTCTTTAAGTTGATTTTGTAGGTAAGTTGGCACAGTTAGGTACAGTTAGTATCTAATGTTGGCTAGTCAAATGTTTGTCTTAGTATATAGCATATAGCATATCTATGCATGAAAATGAGTCCTGGTGGTGTAGTGATTAAGAGCTTGTCTGCTAAAAACATTAAAGAAACACTTACAGATACACTAGAACATCTTTAACATAATAATACAGTAATAATAAAAATGTTTTGATGTATGTCTCAAAGTAGCACCCATTTGTTTTTACAAACCATTGTCTGTACCTTGAATTTTTAATATAATAGCTTTTATGGAGGTTGGTTCGTTACTACAGGTTGTATGTAAATCGGACGTTCGTAACTTATTGCAGTGCTTTGCAATATGAGTTCTCAGTAAATATTAGTTACAAAGAACTGGTAGAAAATATACTGACCTATTTGTAGTGGTAGTGGGATTCTGAGTAATCTTTACCTATAATTCTAAAATTTCTGTAACAAACATATTTTACTTTAGAACTAAGAGAACAGCAATCCAAGTTCTAGGGATGTCTGTTTGTTTTTTGAGTACCGAGTCTGAGGGCAGTGCTCACCTTGGTCTGGTACAGAGCCTCGGCCTCATCCTTGCTCCTCTGTGCAATCAGCTCATACTAGGTCCGCACTGCATCGATGATGATATCCAGGTCCAGGGAGCGGTTGTTGTCCATGGACAGGTTGACGTTGGTGTCACTGATGTGGGTCTGCATCTGGAACAGCTCCTGTGAGGCGTGGAGCATAGGTGACTCCTTCCCCACTCCTCCCTCCACGGCCTTGGTTTCCCTCTACTGCTTCTTCAAGGCTCTCTGGGGAAGTCAGAAGCCCAGGCCAGGTGGAAGTCTTAGGGGAAAGTTCTTTGAATTGTTGCCTTTGCTAAGGTGGCTTAACTAAAGGTAATGGGGCCCAGATCTAGCCTACAGGGAGAAGGAAAGAGCCTGAGCTCAGAAGCCTTGTAGACACCACCTCCCTCTACTGCCCCCTCCTGTACCCTCTCTCCTGTTTGGCTGCCTCCTGAGCCCAGCTCTCTACCAGAGCAGTCGTGCTCCTTGAACCCACACACACCCTTTCCCTCTCCCATGCCTCACGTGAGCTCTCAGGGGCAGTAGGAAGGGTTCCTGTTGTGGAGCTACTGAAACTCACTCTTTCAACCTGGCTGTACTGTGGATAAGCTGTGTGACCAAGCTAGTAATTTAATATCTCAGTGCTTCAGCTTCCTCATCTGTAGAATGGAGATACCAATAAATAAGTAAAGCTCCTAGCAGAGCATCTGTCCCAGAGCAAGTGTCCCCAAGTTAGATATGTGTAGTAGCAGGACCAGTAGTATTTGGAGCTTATTATCCCTCACCGCTCCAGTCTTTTTCTTCACTCCCTTTAAGTTCCACTGTCATCTCCTAGTGAGTCCCCTCCTAGCCCTACCCACTTCCCAGCACTGATGAAAAGTGTATTTATTTATCTCAGGAAAGCTGCACCCAATGCATAGATTTCTGGCTGCCTTTGCCCCTGTGTGTCATGGGTGCTATCCTCATTTCCTAGACAGACTGGGATGAAATGAAGCAGGGACTATTTGACCTTCTCCTGCCCCCCATCTCTACTGTCCCCACTCAGGACTCCAGGGGCGCTGGGCACCTAGAGGAGAATGTTGGGTTTCAGACCTCCTCCACTTACAGCCAATATCCTTTGTAAGATGTGAGAAAACAAAGGGGTTCCTCATAAGGGCTGAACTCACCAACTCATATAAATACTTCAGGAAATTGGTCTCCCCAAGGAGAGTGTCCACCTTAGACTGCAGGTCCACTTTGGTTGCATAAGCAGAGTCCATGTCCTGGACAGCAAGCAAAGACAATGTGACTTTATTGACCAGTCACTGCCCACCACAGCTCACTGTGTGGCCCAAGGCAAGTGGCAAAGCCTCTCTGGGCTTATCTCTCACTTGCAAATTTCCCCATCTCACTCAGATAAACCAAAAATACCAAACCCGTTGCCATCGAGTCAACTCTGACTCATGGTGACCCATGTGTGTCAGAGTAGAACCATCCTCCATAGGGTTTTCAGTGGCTGATTTTTCAGAAGTTGATTGCCAGGCCTTTCTTCTGAGGCACCTCTAGGTGGACTCGAACCTCCAGCGTTAACCATTTGCACTCAGATACAGGTACTCTGGGACAGAAGGAGGTATGACATTGAGCACCACATCTAGTCAGTCACACACAACATCCTGTCCCACCCCAAGTCCCAAGGCCAAGCACTACTGACATTTGAACCCAAAACCAAACCAAACCCATTGCCATCAAGTTGATTCCAACTCATAGCAACCCTATAGGACAGAGTAGAACTGCTCTATAGGGTTTCCAAGGAGTAGCTGGTGGATTCAACCTTTTGGTTAGCAGCCATAGCTCTTAACCACTGCACCACCAGGACTGTCATTAGTTTAATCCAATTTCAGGACCCTGAGGAGATACGAACTAAAGGGTGCCTAGAGATTCATATCAGTATCAGTTTCTGACTTACACCTTCAGTGTAAACCAAAAACTGTGTTTTTCTCATTTCAGGGCCTCAGCATTTGGGCAACACACACAACAAGCTGGCCCATAGGTCACTCAGTCCCTTCTTCTGTCACACATCATCCCACAGACAGCAGAAGTCGCGAGATTCCTTGCTCTGCACTGCCTCCTGGGCCCACAGTCCTCCTCCGGACTCTCTTTTCCCTCACCTTCTTCAGGACGACAAAGTCATTCTCAGCACTGGTCCTCCGGTTGATTTCCTCCTCATACCTGTTGGCGGAGACAAGAAACACAGACAGGCTGCTGTGCTGGCCCTGGCTCCTTAGTGTCTCCTGGCGCAGGAGGCGTGGACTCACCCCTGTAGAAGGATAGTCTTCCCCAAACCTTGACTGACACTCTCTGACAAGCAGCTGGAGTCTGGTTCTCCAGGCAACAGAGGGGACAATGGCCCAATACAGCAAACCCAGAGCCACATTGTCCCCAGAATGTCCATTTTTATTTTGATTTTTTTACCTTTGTAAATTCGTCAAGCTCAATAATTTTTTTCATCTGAGAACATGAAATAACCACTTCTGGTAAAATTTTTTAAAAGAGCAAAAAAATCCCTGCAATTCTGTGCCCCTAGCACCTCCGGTGTGAATTTCCTTTATCCCTTGTCAACTCACACATACTTGGTTTTCCACTGGAACAATGCAGTGAGCATAGGAGGCGATGTTAAGAGAAGCACCCTGCTCCCCAAGCTGGGGAGGGAAAGAGGCCATCAGATGCCTGCACGAGGCAGGAGAAGCTGATCTGACATTAGACTAGTCCTGTCCCCTCTACCAATATTATCAGTAATAGCTAGTGTTTATGAAGTGCTTACTATGTGCAAGCATAGTACTAAAAACTTATTAAGCATAATTTTATCTAAAGCAGTTGGTCTTAAAGTGTGGCCCCAGTCCAGCAACATCAATGTCACCTGGAAATGTGTTATAAATGTAGCTCTGTCCTAAGCCTACTGAATTAGACACTCTGGGGTGGGGGATGGAGAGCAACAATCTGATTTTAACAAGCTGATGCAAACTGAAGTTTGAGAACCACAGATTTACACCTCACAGCAACTCAACAAAGAAGGTACTATTACTATCCCCACTTTATTAATGTGAAAACTGAAGGCTTAGAAAGATTAACTTGCATGCAGCTAGTAAGTGTCAGAGCCCACACCAGAACTCAGGCTTATCTGGGTCCAACATCCATGAAGATACCCTGCTCCTCCTCCCCACCCTCAATACAGTTGGGAGCTGAATGTCCAAACCATCTTACCAGGGCTGCCTCATGCAAAATTGCACTCCCTGCAGTCGTACAGAGCAAAGCATGCACGGCTGCGTCCCACTCCTTATACATGAACACTAAAGCCAAATGCCTTGCCCCATAGAATCGGTTCCCTGCCATGCTTCTCCCCTACCCCTTTGCCCCATCGTGGAGCCTCACTTGTTCTTGTAGTCCTCCACGACATCCTGCATGCTCCTGACCTCCGTGTTCTGGCACATCTGCTCCGCATTGAGAAAGTCCACCTGCCTCCGCAGATCACTGATGTAGCTCTCCAAGATGGACTCCAAGTTGCTGCTCCGATTGGAAGTGTTCACCTGCTGCAGCACCTCCCATTTTGTTTGTAGCACCTGGTTCTGCTGCTCCAGGAATCGCACCTAAAAGCGAGAGATCCCCAACCCATCCCAGACCTGGGAAAGAGCACCTCTCCCACAGGTAGGGGGTCAGCACCCTCACAGCATATCCCAGACCTCAAAGAATCAGGATGGCCCCTCTAAAGCTCAGAGAGCTTGCCATTTCTCTAGGACCAGGACACACAGAAGGCAACGGGGTTTCTGATGGTTGGCCAATGGCTGTAAGGTCAACTTGCCTAAAATTCACACTAAGCTAACCCTGGTTTTGAAGGCTAAATTGCCTCCAGTTGAGTGCCTTGTTTCCTTTAACCACAACCATTTACATCACAGAGCTCTCACCCTCCACCCTCAGTTATCTATGCCAACATAAAGAAATGGTGATTTGGAGCAACCGAAACATTAACAAATCCAAGAGTCATTTTGAATTGTGGTTTAAATGCTTTATGGAATTCGGAAGAGGAGGGAATAAGAAGAAAGAACACTTTGACTTGGAATATTAAACTAATTTCTGAGCAAACCCTCCAGCCACTACCACCTCTGTTGTTCCCTGATGAATTTTTTAGGAAGGTAATCTCATTTAAATGCTTTTAAAGTCCAGACAGAATTTTAAAAGTAAATTTTCTCATTAAAAAAAAGTATAATGTATTCATGGGGGTGTAAGGACTTGGGGTTGTCCAGTGTTTTGGAACTACCCATGCTGCTATTTCTTTCATTAGCTCAGAGAATGGAGAATGAACATCACCCTGTATTTTGCTACCTCTTCCCCAAAACTACTTTCAATTATGGTCATTCCAAAACTGTAGATATAAAGGTCAGATACAGGGTTCAGAGGTTGTCTATGTGCAAAAAAAAAGACATGAACTGTCTTTCTCATGATAATGATCTACTCTCACATTACCTCTACCAGTTGCCCACAAACAAGACCTCCTTCCAATGCCCTGAGTAGAGATAGGAAGTTTTCTCTGTGGCATGCACCTTTGCTCAGGTGCATGAGCATACACACACACTCACTCACATGCACACACACACACACACACACACACACACACCCCTCCAGAATCCGCCTCCCTCCTCCAGGAGCTGAGTATGTGGGCAGACCCACTGCTTTGTGTAGTCATGTTTACAGTGCCTCTTACAACAGTACCCAGAAGACACTCCTGTGCAGTGTGGCACTAAGGAGGGTACCCAGAATCACCCAGCCCTGGAGACTCTGCCCATCTAAGGGGCTAGCCCTTGTTAATTCCTTTTGGGTTCTTACTCTAGGCTAGAAAATGCTCGCAGAGGGCACTGTTTCCCATGGCTCATTTTTGTTGGCCTTATCAAAATCAGAGGTTAAGCAACCAGTTCTCACAGGCTTGTCAGCACAACTCATAAAGCCCGAGAGAAATTCTTGCCACCCAGCCTATTTTTACTCTGTGGTGGCACTCCCAGGGAGTGAAGAAATCAATCTGACACTCATTCACATCTCTGTGCTAATGTTGTGGGTGCCAAAAGAAAGTATCTCATGGTTTGATGGGGAGTCTCCATATAAAACGAGGCACAATTAGACAATTCTCGGTGCTCTGAGTTTAGCCAAGTCCCCTCCTATCCACAATATCTCGGGAGCTCAATAAAACAAATTGTGGTCCTCAAAGGTCACCCAAATGGTGAAGGCTAGGTTCAGCGAGTACCAGGCAAATTTCTTGTGATTTAACCACTAGAAAAATAATTGAAAGCCATTTACTTTTCCCTTGACTCCTCAAAACCCTCTTGGACTGTGTCCCACCAGCAATACTTAGGGGAAGCTCAGACAACATAGGTAAATTTCAACATCATGCTGAACTAACCTTTTTACTGAAACAAAGCCCACCCTCTGCGTCTCGTGCCCCTCTCCCTCGTGCTCATGACACGTCAACCCACAGTGACCTTCCGGTGCCTCCAACACTTTAAACCTTCCCAACTCTTTGCCTGGCTAATTCCTACTCACCTTTAGATCTCAGCTAAAATGTCACCTCCCTCGTGTCTCCCCTTCACAATACCCTGCTCTTTCCTCCAAAGCATGAATTAAGATTTGCAATCATTTGGTATTTAGCATCTGTATCTCCCCCGCTGGGTTGTGAGCCCATGAGGGCAGACCCATTTGCTTTGTCTTCCAGTGGACACGAGGTGCTGAGTTCTGAGGAGACACACTGCCCAACACAGAGAAGACAGTTAACAAATATCATGGGCTAATGAAATACAAAAAGGCTTTGGACTTACCTGCTGGTTTGGGCTATGTAGACCACTCGCTACCCTTTGACATCGAAGTTTAAAGGACAGCTGAACAAGAATGTCCTTCTGGCCCACATACCAGAGGCTAGGCCAGTGTCTCAGTGGGAAGAGATGGACCCGTCTTTTCCTTCCTGAGGTCCCTTTCACTTGTCATGATTCTAAAAAAAAACTTGTCTCCATAACCACTCTCCAAGGTCCAAGCCTAAAACCTGAAGACCTGACTCAATTTTTCATTCAACACATATTTATTGAGCAATTATCATATGCCAAGCACCATTCTGGTGCTGGGGGTTCATTAATGAACAAAAAGATCAAACCCCTGCTTTCCAGGAACTTACAGTCTATTCAGAGACAACCTTAAAGAGGCAAACATGTGCAATAAGTGTCAAATGGCTGTAAGAGTTATGGAGAAAGTAGAGCAAGGGTGGTAGATGGGGATGCTGGGATGGGGGATGCTACTTTAAATAGAATGGTCAAGGAAGGCCTTGTCGAGACAGACCACAGCTCCTTCAGGAGCCGAGGGAGGGAGCTGGGCCCCTCTTTGGGAAGAAGAGTTGCAAGCAGGGGGAACAGCATGTGCAAAGGTCCTAAGACAGGACCAAGCTTGGGATGCAGTAGGATGGCAAGAATGCAGTTGTGTACTTGTGAGCAAGATGAAAGCAGGAGATGAGGCATAGTAGGAGTGACAGAATCACTGCATACAGTTAGGAGTTTGTACCCTAGGGGGCTTAATCCCAGCCTGCACTCTGCTCACTAAACCCTACAGCTTGAGAGTTGTTCAACCCAGTGGAGGCAATTCTGCCTAATTTTTGTAAATGCATGTCAGGGGCTAACACCAGCTGTGGCTTGGAGGGCAAGATCATATAGGGCCTTATAGGATTAGGGTTTTCACTCCAAGAAGCCAACGGAGAATTCACATGGAAGAATGATGTGGTATGTCTTTAAAGAATGCCAGTGGTATGGTGTTGAGAACAGTCTTATGGGGTTAATGCTGAAAGCAAGAATACCAGCTCAGAAGGCAGGGTTAAAAGCCACTGCAACAGAAGCCTGTTCCTTCCAGCCAGGCCAGGGCCTACCTGGGCTGAGGAACCTCTCCTCGTGGTGATCACAGGCCACACCCCCTAGGAAAGGACAGAAAGCCGAGGTCTTCTTCACCTTGGCCTCTGCCCACAGTCAATGCCATAAAACCCAATGGGTGCCCAGCAGGTACCATAATGAAATGAGAGTCTCAGGAGATTGGTTGCCAGCAGCCTGTGGTCATTTTATTCACCCCAGCCCATCCTTCTCCCTTGGCCCAGCCTTGACCTCCCAGTGGTGGCTCCTTCCTTCACCTGTCACCTCCTTGCTCCAGTCAAACCCGCCCCTGACTATGCCTGAAGTGTGATGACATTCAGCCCAATCTCTCATCTTTAGTGATCAGAAGTATCCAGAAGCACTTGCTCTGTTGAACACCTTTTTAGCTGTCTCTGGGCCTCAACATTCTTACCCCTGATCCCCCTGCTCCCACACTCTGTCCTGTCCCCAGCATTTGCCCAGATATCAGGAGCCAGCTATACAGCTTAACTGTGGGCTCAGTCCCACATGGTTAGCCTGCAGTCATACCACAGAGCAAGTCCTGGCCTCAACACCAAACCCTTGTGGGGATCAAAGGAAAGCCACTGAGCATCCAGGGGCTTTTGTGCTTCCTACCTCATCTTCAAAGGCAAAGCACTTTCTGGGCAGCCTCCAGTGGCCAACAGGCATCCATCCCTGAACAAAAAGTAATGCTAGAGAAAGGTGTTTACCATAGCTATTCCAACAGCCTCTGCCTGGTGATTTGGGGCTTAATCAGGCATAATTTGAGGTTGAAACAGGGAACTAGGGAGAGGGGCTTCCACGGCTCCATCTGGCCCATTCTTGGCCTGGGATGAGCTGAAAGAAGAAACTCAGACAGAACTTTACTTTGTACTCTACTGACTTTAACCCCCAAGAGATGCCCAGCAAGGCATTTCCCTAGGCTCTGCCAAGCTCACCCACCCTGCCTTTTCAGCCCTGCTTCTGCATCTTCATCTCCACCTCTCTCCTCTTCCTTCTGTTAAATTCTTTTCTCCAGGAATTTTAACTATTTAAAATTCCTTGAAGGTGTCACACTTTCATGCCTTTTGCCTTGGTGTCTGTTGGTCCTTCTGTCTAGTAATCCTCTCTGCTATGAGAAACTATTTGACTCGATCTCCACTTTCAAGACTCAGGTCCGACCTGGGGTCCTTGGTGAAGCCCTCCAAGAACCCAGCAGGCAGAGCTCCTCAAGTCTTCCTTTGAGCTACCACAGCCCAGAGGGTACTATTCTTATAAACATGCTTTTCACATGCTGTTGTAATTATCTCCCTTTAAGAGCTGGAGTTCCTTGAGGGAATAACCTGTGTCCTAGAAGGCCCTGTGGTGTACTCTGTGGTATATGCCAGTGCCTGGCATATAGTAGATGCTTAGGAAGTGTTTGTTATGCATCAATGGATGAGTGGGTGGTAGGTGGATGGATGGGTGGGTGAATGGATGGAAGGATTCATGGATGGGTGGATGGATGGGTGGGTGGGTGGGTGGA